CAATGTGTTTATTGCTATATGGACCCAACGAAAGCAATCATTGAGTTAGAAAAAGAAGTATCGGTTTCATACACTATTTATCATATAATTATCCATAATAACTATATTTCTCCATTTCGTAAAGTTGTTATTTTCACTAGTGAGAGATCTACGCGGGCCCATGTAAAAGGGTCTCAATGGGGTTAACCGTGAGCCGTGAAACGGCTGAAAAATTAGCCGTGAGTCGTGAAAATGCGAAAAAATTAGCCGTGAGGCGTGAATATTGTTTTATAGCGCGAACCGTGATTCAGTTTTGTCCCTTATTTTTTGGCAAATTTAATCACAGTAAAATGTAAATCCAGTCTAATCAAAGATACTTTACTGTACTTAGGTGTAGATAGTCTTCCTTTTGACCAAATTCAGTTGACAATTTAAAGCTTGTTCGCCGCTCGGCATAGTATACAATCGACTTGGTACTTCAGATTTTTCACGTCTCTGGACGAACTCCCGGGAGTCAAAATAATTTTTTATTTGATTATACGATTTATACGGATTATCATTCATTCTCTTCAATTATTAGTATTCACTAGTTTATATTCAATAATTATTTGATAATCAATATTAATACACTTGTAAACTCAGTTATCGAAATGTGGAACATTCGAGTGAGTGTTGGAGTTTCAGAGGTCTTTTAAAATTGTGTTTAGTTGAGTCCAGGCAAATCTTTGGTAACAGCTAGTACCGGAATTTCAAGAGATTTTTGTCGTGTTTTTTATCCGAATACTAGTAATGCCTGTCTGATATAAGAACCGTAAAACTAATTTAAAATGTGATGATTTGGACAACAATAACAACAATTGAACAGCTTGGTGAAAGCCGTCACATTTCACCGAACATCGGTATTCGGCCGCAAACTACCACTGAGCACCCACCCCACMCCACCCCCGTCAAATAATAAATCCACTGAAGAATGATTATGCAAAGCCTGTATCGCTTGCTAATTCCCGAGCTGAGCTCTGATTGGCTCGCTACTCCCTCTGGATTTTGGTGACGTCATATATTAGCATAGAACTTCACCGAATAGACTACCCCAATNGAATTTCAAGAGATTTTTGTCGTGTTTTTTATCCGAATACTAGTAATGCCTGTCTGATATAAGAACCGTAAAACTAATTTAAAATGTGATGATTTGGACAACAATAACAACAATTGAACAGCTTGGTGAAAGCCGTCACATTTCACCGAACATCGGTATTCGGCCGCAAACTACCACTGAGCACCCACCCCACCCCACCCCCGTCAAATAATAAATCCACTGAAGAATGATTATGCAAAGCCTGTATCGCTTGCTAATTCCCGAGCTGAGCTCTGATTGGCTCGCTACTCCCTCTGGATTTTGCGAAACAGGTAGCTTGAAAAAAAACGTACGGACGTTGTATCGTATTTAGATAAGATATCAATTTTAAAATACTATAATTCTGTTTAGTGATTACGTACAAGCCCGTACAACGTACAAGCCCGGGGACACTGTGCTCCCACACTCACTATCTCTAGCACAAAACAAATTATGAAAAAGTAATGAAAAACGTATTTCGAAACTTTCTGAAAGTAATCTAWTTAACTTGGTGATTCGAAAAAATTAGTCGTGAGTCGTGATGCGTACCACCCCATTGAGACCCTCATGTAATATCCTCTCTTTTAGCAATAATTTGCGTACGTCCTAGTTTGATTTCTTTCCTCTCCAAACTCCGTCCCTGACAATGTCACTGCCAACCGCCAATGAAAACGCTTAGAACTAACATGCAATAATTATTCGCGAATCTGATTTCACGTTTATTTTGTCTGCATTTTTAATAATTTTTATTTTAATTTATTATTATTATTCTTTTATGTTATGGTGACATACCTCACTTAAAAAATACTACTCACGCCCCTCGATTAGTTGTTTCGGATGATTTCGAAAAGGACTGGGTACTATAAGCCTCTCAACCAATTTCTGGCGGACATTCATAAAAAAGATATCTACACTCGACAWAGTAGGCTAGATTAATATTTGTATGGCAAGAGTTAAGGCTTAATTTTGAAGTAGATTTATTTGATTATTGTTAAAATGAACGAAAAAAGATTAATAAATGTTTACTGAGACTAATGACGTATCGGACTGACGTTGAAAAAGTTTTGTATTCTTCCATTATTTTTATTTCATGTATTTCCTAGTGCTAAGCGGTTTGCATAATCATATAGTTACAGTAAACACCCGAAAATAAGAACTTATTGGATTAAGAACCTCTTGGCAGAAATTATTTGCCATTCTAACAATCCCTTAAATAAGARCCTCTTTAGCCAAACATTATCAAAGCAGGTTCTTATAATATGGGTTAGAGCTAAATTACAGGATAAACAAACCATAACTTACTCAATTTCAAGATTGCGTACAATTTACTGAATTTACAGTTGTTGAGTTGATTGTTTACTTGTTACAGTAGTTGAAAAGTTACAGTTTATATACATTTCCCGGCAGTATTGTATATAATTTGAGCCCATATGATGCAAAACAATAACAACTGTATCCCCTATTAGCAATTAAGAACCTAATTAGGAACCTGTTTTGCCAAAATTACCAAACAACAATCCCTTAAAACAAGAACCTTTTTTGCCAGACTTTCAAAAAGATAAGGTTCTTATTTTCAGGTGTTTACTGTATCATTAGCAATGAATAAATATCCATCCTGTATATAACCGGCCCCAGATGTTTGCTTTGTGGACGTTTTTTAGTACTACTTCATTGGACTGATAGGTGGTAGCGAGGTTTTTTTTCCTTTATTTTCTTTTTTTTAAATAGTTTTTCTTCTTCTAGTACTAAGTATTTAAGTTTACTTTACACACATACTGAGCAGATTTCTACTAGTATATGCAACTGAACACTTTAGCATAGTTTCACTATTATATAAACATACCTTTTGATACATTTTTTCCGGTCTTTTACTCCGAAAATGTTTAATTACCTGAAGGTTAAGCAATTTTCCGCTTTGATTTTACGGTTTGAGGTCACAACTGGCTTTTTAAAGAGGGAACATGCTTTATCCGACTAGAATACGTGTTTACAATATCAGTCACTTCAATTAAAAGTATACAACAACAGCTTCAGGGAATGTCCGTTTATAAATGTGCTAATATAACCTATAAGACTGTGCGAAGAATTCAAAAAGGCGGTGAATATATTTCTGATCTTAGAGCATAACAACAAAAAACCGAAAAGAGCCTGAAGGTTTTGTTTGAATCGAGTGAGTCACTGCAACGATGAAGCTAAGTTGAAAAACYCGTGACTATAACAATACATAAGTGATTCGCCGAAGTCACGAACAAATGGATCAAACCTTTTGTTATCGAGAAAATACGTTTTTTGCCTTGAAATTCCTTTTGTGTTATTTTCAAAAACCTTTCGTAATCACCCTACACAATGAGGCTAAACATTCAACCTCACAAATGCCAATTGAATTACAATATCAAGGTATTCCGGCTAAAAGAAGTTACAAGTTTGACGATTGAGGAGATGTTTTTTGTAACATTGATAAAATAGATCCGAATGCTATTTTCAAAAGCAATTTGATTGGTCTTTTTGATGTATTTTGAAGTTTTCTTTTTTTGTTTGGTTTGGTCGTCTTTCTAAGCCTTCAATACACAACTTTGTACGCTTTGCTCTCTGAATGTGTTGTGTTTTGAATTGAAGGGGTAAATAATGCTTTATTTATATATACGTTTAAAGCCCAGACAGTATAAACACTCAACGTATCGAATTCCAGAATTGCAGACAGTCCTTGTATACGACTACAAACAAAAACCCGTCTTTCTTCTGAAAAAGAAACTCATAAACCAAAATAATGAGATTGATCCCTCTCCCTCGTAAGACATAAAGCTATTTTGACTAAAAAGATAGGTTTTAAAGAGTTTTACAAAGCTTTTCTTCGCTAGAAATGAAATATTCAGGTCTTGTAGAGCAACAATGGCTATTTAGGGGAGCTTTTGTTTCTAGAATACAATTGTACAACAAAGATCAACCGCATTAAGTTATGGAAATATATTTGACAGGGTTTGATTTCTATGTCAAAAACCTCGCAGTTGAATTAGAATCAATGTTAATTGTGACATGAAGTCATTCATTAAAAACTTTGTTTAAGAAAGCGACGGCATAGGAGGCGAAGAAACCCCTAACAACAAAAAATCAACACACTCAAATTTAGATTAACTAGCTTTTGAATCATTTAATTTGTTCTTTGTGTATTTGATCATTTTTGTAGCTTTGATTTTCAAAGTAAGAAAACACGCTTTTCTCGTATGTTTTTTGTGGAATGTGCTATTTTATGATGTGGTGTTTTTCATACTGTCAAAGCACACTGCCTGGGTTGTAAGGTGATTCTATAGATTTATTGGTAGCGTGATCAATTGGTCCACATAAGAGGTTACTAGGCAGTTCCTTTGGGGTTGTTTTGTATTAATAACGTTGAGTATTCATCCTAGCTTAGCCTGTATAATAACACTATTATTGGATCTTTTATATATCCGACGATGTCCGGACCATGTGGGATTGTCGCATTCAACACTACTTCTTAAACAAGAAATTTGCCTTGGTCATTAGTGACAAAGAAATCATTGACAACCGCTACTGACTCTCCTCGTGATCTTCAAACAGTATTCAACAGCAAAATAAACCCAAAACTTGAAGAACGTTTGCATCACGTGACCGATCTTCGGCATCCTGGTTCTTGATCCCTTAGTTAATCCTGGTCGTTATTTCGAGACCATTTGTTCGTTGTCTTGATCTTTTTCCTTGTCTCGAATAGCTTAAAGGATGTCTTTTGACATGGCTCAATGGTARTGATGTATTCATGAATGCTGAGAAGTCAATCTTGTACTAGAATTGATAATGTCTTTGCCATGGCGTGACCATACGATTATTCCTTCACTGTTCATGTCCTATCACAAATATAACCGGTATTTATTCAGTTTTAAATGCTGCAAACGMAAGGTTCGTATCTTGCCTTAGAAGTTCTGTTAAGTTCGATATATAATTCTTAGCTAGTCGTAGGATTTCAACTTGTGTCATTTTACGATCCGATGACCCTGTTGTTGTATTAATGTTGTCTGGAACAACACTCTTCAACACCTGAAATGCTGCATTAAGCCTCGCTTTTCGTCCTCTTTCTCTTTCATTTCTTCGTAGTTGTCTCGTCGACCGTGAAGCAGACTGTCGACTGCGTGATCGTTGACCGTGTTCATGTCGTGATTCGCTGTGGCCACGTTTCTCTGCGCGAGGCGTTGGACAATTATTGTTTGACGAGTGAAGGGTCTTTGTAGATTCAACTGTAAAGCTAAATGAAGCTTCTTTCACGCGCTGTACAAGCTCTTCACTCGGTGAGTTACAATATCTTGAAGTTGGGTTCAAAGCTGATGATATAGCGACGAGAGGTTCTTCATGATAATTCATCGTGAAATCTTCGTCTAAAACTCCACCAAAAAGCTACGAATATAAAATCTTTTTTTACCAAAAAATCTTTACACCTATCAAACCTTTTAAAACTATGGCTAAAATTGTGGGATTTGAATGGTGTGTAGTCTTAATCTTGTTAGATATTCCCTCAGACAATATAAGAGATTACATCGAGATATCCATGACAAGAGAAGATATATACAACGAGTTAGTGGTTGATCTTTACCTTGTAAGAGGAGTTAGTAGTGTTGTACGTTGAAGAGAGCCAATCTCTAGTGGCTRTSTTTTCKTGTGGACCAATGGTTAATCCCAAAATACTAGCACGTGTATTAGTCGTTCGAAAACAATACCGCTAAGTCCGCTGCCCACTACCAAGAAGGCCTCAGCCCAACCCACTTTGTAACATTAACTACATTCAGACCTACTATAATCAATCCTAGAATATGAATTCCTTTTTTAAAATACCACGTGTAAACCTGTTATTTTGATTTTCTTTTCGATGACACAGATATCAAAGTTTTCATTGAGAGCACCCTGATTGGAGCAAACAGACACGAATTCAACAAAATTCACCGATTTTAACGTGCTGGGGGAGCAAGGCGTAGCTCTTTACGCCTCCCTAACAACAATCACAGTATTCTCCTATGTCTACCCTATGGAGTACAAGCCAYCTAAGTCTCATTGATGCCTCCGAAATAAGGAAATTATTGACTTTCATATCGTCAAGTTTTGTTAAAAAGAGTCTTAAACAATCGAGGTACGCTCTCACAGGCATAGGACGCCGCGAAACACTCTTCTAACTCCCTAAATCAGATTTTATTCACATTGAGAGTGTTTTGGTCCAATTGTTGGCGAAGTGGGTATTTTCCCGCCATTCGACAGTAAATTCACTAACGTTGGCTTCAGGCCCTTAGACTTGACATTTGCGCATGCGCATATGGTGCAGAATAATCCAGGGATGCRAAGGACAAGCTTTGCTACGCTATTTAAGAGTTACAGTGTTATTTAATATTCTAAAAAGGCGTCAAAAACCCATCAAAAAATCTCGACTCTAGGTTTGGATTTCTCCTTTTGATTGGGGAGTGACAAAGTACTGTATGGCCCTCACAGACGCCGTGCCCAGTAACATTTGTGTGTCGCACCTGGCACGTTCAATATAGATTGAGCTTACAATGCATCCTAGCTTGAATGAAGCCAATTCAATAGTGCCTATCTTCGATACCTAATTAGCGGCCTACTTTTACATAACACAAATGAAATGGGCTCCTTTTTCAAAGAAATCAGCAGATTTATGGCCGTGTTCTTTGTATTGTTTCGCCTCTTGTTCTTGAGATTGGGTCGCTTCATGGAACGAAACTTCTCCACTAGGGAGTTGACTGTGTCCATGACACCTCTCCTTTCCTGATGTATTGTAAATCACCTTTAAAATAAATAATACTCTGCTGAAACAAAAACCACAAGGACACTTTCTTGCGGGGATGTTATAACAGTGGACTTCCTTGCCTGACAGTTCATTGAAAGAAGCGCAGGCAACGGCCTTAATTACGATGATTGTTGTGGTTAGATAGAGTTAATTCTAAGATAGCTGACATCTGGTCGATTATGTGAAAACTGGCGAGAACAATGGGACACATGGAGGCGAGATAAGGATGGCGAAATTCTATCATACAAAGTAGCACCTTTCCAGGTGAAGAGACGCTCCAAATCTACTCCATTCAACACAACATCAAAATAACCCCTCGATACCCTGGGAAAGATTTCTCCAAACTACTTCTGACAATACTTCTAGTTTTCTCATTTAAAAAGCTCAAAGAGAATGACAATTGGAGTTGGATTTTTCCGAGAGTAGACTATACTAGTGTGCATAGCTAATTAGGTACCTAGCTAGTTAGTAGAATAGCGGCTCTCAGGGTCTTTGTGAAAGTTCCCCTTTTCTCTTCAAAGAGTGAAGGTGTGGTTCTCTTTTATGTCTCACGAGTTTTGTTCAAATAAATTCAACACGCTTTGAATGCGTATGTCATGAATAAGGCTCTGCCCTTCAAACTCGGAGGTAAAATCCCCCCAAATCCCACTGGATCTCATGGGATTAAAGCATGAACCACAGACTGTACAGTAGGAGGAGTTCCCCCAAAGTTTACATTCTATGACCCAACGCTTTTTCTTTGTGCACTCGATTTATGTGATAATTTTGGGCACACGTCCCGTCATAGCACATCAGAACATGACTTATAACATAAGAATGTACACGTAGCATATTTAAGTATCGAGATTATGCCTTAGAAAGTAGAGAGTGATTTTGCCAATCCTGGGACGTCTTGGAACCCTCTTCTCAAGTGAAACTAGTCTATTTTGGATCAAATCATTTAAAAGAACGTTACGCTTTTCCAGAAGATAGGCATATTRAGAAATATATGAATAGAGAGGCTGCTAAGACAAAGCCTTTCCAAAACGAACAATACTTTCATAGGAAATTCCTCATCGTTAAATTTGGGAGATTCCACAGCTTTCACCAATGTAAGTTTGCATAWGTTCTAAAATTTCAACTTTGTTAGYTAGTGTACCACAGTTTGCTACATCTTAGCAGGTTTTCGTTGACTTAGTTACATGCCTTGGCTAATATCGTTATTGTCCCTGGGTTTTATTGGATCAATAATACTGGGCAAGCATAATTAACTCCTCAACAACAACGCCTTCAGACACTATCTCATTTGCATATTTCAAGAAGAAACATGAAGACTGTTCTACAAACAGAGAAAGGCTCGAAATTAAAAAAGAAAAAACAATGATACCCCGATATTAAAACCACATGTGTGGAGTAAATTGCTCTGCGATACCGGAAAGTGTGATTTTTGTTTTAAAGGTCTGTTTTGTTTCGCTGTGAGTGCGGTTTGAATAGAGGGCTTCTATGGAACAGAAGTTGTGTATACTTTATCTTCAACTAGTGTGCTGATCTATTTCAAGGTAGCAAATCAAAATGCTTTWTAAAGCTACAAATAGGAACTTAAACTATCACAGAGCTAGAAATGTAACTGAAGATTTAAAAAGGTTAACAAAAATCTTATGGAGAGAATCTGTTTTTCGTGAACAAATCAAAATTATGTTTTTAAAAGTTTTGTATTTTCGAGGAATAAAGATGTGATTGTATTGCTCACGAAATATCATTGTAAGTCGTGGCAAATCTGCTTTCAAACTTAATCAAATCTTTCTGTTTCTAGATATTGTTGTCTCAGTTTCCTAAAAAATCTATGAAAATAGAAATTTATAAAATTGTATCAGTTACAAGTACTAGAATATAAACCTTTCATATTTACCAAACTTAATATTTTTCTGCCGAGTTTTATTAGATTTGAGGCAATTTAAGTACAAACGCAAATAAAACTACCAAATTTTTTTGTAAAGTTTACATTTTTATTTTTGCTTTAATTTGATTCTTTAGTTCAAATCAAGCTAACATTTTATGTACTTTTTAGACTTGACTACCGATCAGTCAATCACCCGCTATTTGCTATTATTATTTTTGTAAAATTACGAACAATTACCTAAAGAAAGCCCTATGAACAATTYTCAAACACGCATGCGCAATAGCCGACGAGTCAAAGACCCCGGCCATTGTGACAAACTTGTTTCAATTCTGTGAATTAAACTGGCATTTTCTTAGAYAAGTTGAGTAAAAAGATAAATTTAACACCGTAAAAAAAGTAGGTGAAACAAATCTTTTWACTTAACTGTTTCTTTAGAAACACCGACGCAGCTCACACTAGTTTACCGCTACTTTCTAYTATGTTTTTCTTAGATTAAGTTGGCTTTGCTTTTTGCTGTCAATTCAGAGTATTTTAACAGACTACTTTGCAATCATAATATAACAACAAAATATCAAACAATATAATGGAGTTTTTCACAAGTGCTGTATCCACAATTTAGACACATCCACATGAATCGTGTTGCAGTATTTCAAAAAACGTGATATTGAATTCGGCATACTGAGGAATTTAGTACATAACGAATAGCTTTGCAGTAAAAACTGTGACTACGAAGACAAGAGGTTCATGTTGGGGTTTGACACAGAAAAGGAATCACTATCTCAATGCTGTGTATTTCTTTTTCAAGAAAACTGAAGCAGTTTTCAACAGASGTTTTTATTTGATGTGAATTGTGTGCCAAGATATTTGTATCGTCTGTTTGTTTGTAGGTAAATAAATACCGTARACAATGGCTCGAGTTAATTATGAGCCATTTTGAATGTTGAGGCGAGTGGCATGGACAATTCAATTTTTAGAAATGAACTAGTCCTTCACGGTCTCAGCTGACTATTGCTGCCGAACTATGGCGGGTTGTTCATACTATTTAGTAATCACACTATACTGGTTTAGCTAGTTTGCACTTCAGCTTTAGACAATAGAAGGCGTCGGGTTTTTTGAATAAACTGAACTGATTAGAAATACTGCTGTGGTTACTGCTGTCAGAGTTACGCCAGGGATTCTAAAAGTCTGAGGACAGAAATGTGGTTTGGATACGGTATACTTGACAATAACATGAAAATGCTCTTTGAACACTTGTATCAGTAGAAGATAATTTTTATAGCGCATTGAGAAATTCGTTATTTTGAGTTGTTTATGAAGATCATGAATTTTAATCTACGCTGAAGTTTTAATAGTCTAAACGTGAAAAGTCCATGGTGATTGTTAGGTTGTCCTTCTGTGAATTGATTGATGTTCACCATCTATTAAATTCTTTCAGTTTGTTTYCGGTATCTATTGCAATTTTTTTGGTTTTGTTGTTTATGTCAGCTTGATTCATTTCAGTCAGTTTGTAATTTCTTTTGTAATTTTTTTGTTGTTTCACTAAAAACAGTCATTTGTTTGGTGTATTACTAAGTGAAATATGATCAYCGCATATAAACAATCTATGCCAGAAAAATTCCTTGTTTTTGTGGTTYACTGGTGTCATGCGCAGAATATATTATCAAAACTAGATGTCACGTGATTAGGGTGTGCTGGTTCCTTAAGATGAAAAAAAGTACAACCACTTTTCAAAGCAGATTAAACCTCTTTTCGATGTTTTATGCACGTTTTCAATTAGCACGTTATGGTTTTTATGAATAGCTATTTTTGGTCGCAATYATAAAGGCGATTGTCAAACGGAATCCGTTACGATCTTTTRTCTCTTTCAAAATRAAAACGTGACTTCGTATTAYAAGCACAAATTCGTTTTTTATATATCTTTTTGCTCTATAAATGAATATATTGTAGCCGATGGATGACAACGAMTTGTGAATGAGATATTTTAAGTCGCTCTATCATATATGGAAATCTAAAACAGGGTCGTATTGGATGACTATTTATTTCATGTTTCTYGGCCTCAGTTCATAAGAACCAACTGTTCAATGCAGATGTGTTTATTTATAACTACGAATGAACTGCTTTTTCAGTTTATCTAAAATGCCTAAAACTATATTTACAATAAAATAAAACACTCATTCGTCGACTTTCACGAACACTTTCGGCCGAGAGAATATTTTGATCGCGCTTTCGATTTCGGAGAGTTTTCGTTCAAGTTCGGCTTTTCTTGTCCGTACTCGGAGCGTGTCGGCTCTTACGGGAAGAGAGCGAAGTTCGACGAGAAGCTCATCTTGATCTGCAAAATAGAGTAAATCGTTTTAATAAAATCATAAACAAAATGATTTAAGAATCAGAGGTACACTACTTTTAAAGATATGAATATGAATACACTACTTTTAAGGCAGGGTCACGAAAATGTATTTGCACAGTCGAAAAAAAAAAAAATTCCAATGTTGCCTTTAATTTTAACCATTCTTCCATTAATTTATCGTTTTGTTTATCCAGTCATCTGTACGCCCTTTTTGAATTGACACAACTAACCGCTCAATTGACTCACTAAATCAGGTAGCGACGTCATTGTCTAAAGCAAAGCATGATGCAATCTCGTTCCAGATCCCGCGTAACTTGTTTTTTTGTGTTCCATAAAGAAGCGGCGACAAAACTACTTGCATTTTTGCAAAAATTGTGAAAATAATTTTGGCAAAGACAAGGGTAACCACAACAGCAACAGCAGAAGCGCCAACAACAACACTAGAAACAACAACAATAGCAACAACAGTAGAAACAACAATAGCAACACCAACACTAGCAACAACAACAATAGCAACAACAACACTAGAAACAACAACAAAGCAACAACAACACTTCGTGGACACAAAAAGGCATATTTCCCATCATGCTATACTTGAAAAATTGACGTCCTTATTGGCCAGTTTTATCCATAAACACATTCATGCCATCATCAATTCACAGGTCTAGACGTACTTTTCTGTAATGCGTCTAATGTTTGGAGGCGTTCGTCCCTYGGCATCAGTACATGACCGGCTGGAACGGTTGGGTCAGGAGTGTTAGCTATTCGTATCTCTTCTTCTTTTTTCCATTGCTTCTGCCTCTGTTTAAGACTAAAAAGTAACAGCGTTATTTTGAGCTGTTTTTCAGTTATAGTGTGAAATACTAATTATTAAATTGTATAAAATAGTATTGCTTCAACAAAAGAATTAACATAAAAGTCTTTTAGCTAAACCTCTGAGCCCAAGAAGATTAAAATGATATTAAACTTACTATTTAGGGACAGACCCCCGTTTATATTTCTCTTGCTCGTCTTTCTTTTTCAGTTTCAATTCTTCCATAGCCAATGCTGATGGTGCTCTCTTAGGACCAGGTGACGATGCTGTCCGTCGAATGTTTTCAGCGATATGATTTCGGTTTTTCTTGGGAGGTGATCCCTAAGGTAAAAAAAAATTATATTATTTTAATCTTTTGGATTATCTAGTTATTGATAAACAAATAATAATATGAATTATTGATATATTTGTAGCTTTATATTTAGTTGGAATAAGATTTATTTCAAGAGATCTCTTAATAAGAGGTCAACTAGGAAAAGATAAAAGATTGATGGCCATATTGGATGCATGCACAGTGAACACAAATGAGAAATTTTTTTCATTAAAGTTTYACCAACGTCAATATAAAACCAGCAATATGTCTACTTCTAACAGGGTTCATGCTACATTTTCACTACAAAATTCCAGAATCTTWTAAATACTTTTTAAGCACAAAAATGTGATTTTCAAGGACTATTTTTGAAGATATTTTTTGATGTTTAAGATTGCATCCAGTCTATGGAGAATTTAAAAAATAGCCACATTTCAATCCAAAAGATAAAAAGTAACATGTCAATTTCATCAGATTCAATGAGTTTTCCAGGAGTTTTAGCGATTTGTCACTTCAAGGGCTTTTCAAGCGCCCTTGAAAGCGAGTTTTCAATTCCAGGACTTTTCAAGGATTTCAAGGGGTGAACCCTTTTCTAAGCAGCACAGGTATCCCACACTATACAGTAAATTACTGACAATTCTTCTTACCAAGACCAACAAGTCTATTACCTCTCTGGCATTAGATGCCTTTGGAATAGTAAGTTTACACTCTTTTGGGACCACAGGTTCTGCTGACGAGGGCCTGTCTTTGACAGGAGGGCCATTCCTTGAATGGGCTCTTAGAAATGATGCAGAATTGGACCTTGGGGCTGGTGGAGGTGCCTGAAAGATGTCATAGTCTTTGTTGACATTCCAAAACATTGTGACAYAAACTCAATGGATGTTTTATGATAAACMMGAAGAAAAGAGCAAATTTGTCCAGCTTGCGTCAACTGATTTTAGACTGACAAGTTGGATAAATCACTTAAAAACGTTGTTTTCCAAATAGAAAACCAACAATAGTCCTTATATGGTAAGTTGGTATCTTTTAGTTTACAACTTTACTGACTTTTTGATGCCTATGCGACCCTTCTAGGAAAAACATAGAATGTTATTTAGAAATTAACTGCTGTTCATCAACTAAAGTCCTTTGATCTTTATTGGCAGTTGGTTAAAAACAATGTCAACAGATTTACAGAAGTCTATGTAGGTGCATTTCTGCATTTTATTTAGAATGACTGCATAACAATGCAAACAATTGTAATCTAGGTTTGATTRAAACTCTATTAACATTAACAGAAATACAGATAGCCACCAATTGAATTGCTTCACTATTTATAGCATTTTGATCAACCAGATTCTTGTTCTGCTTACCTTACATTCCTGTGCAACTTTGGATTCAACATGATCAAATTTGTCTGGTTTATAAACAGCTTTGACAGGTTCTCCTGCCGCTGATTCTTGTTGTTTTTTCCTGTTTGCTCTCTGGATTTGTTTGATGTGATAAGCATTTTCTTTTTTGAAGTCTTTTTGCTGAGCAGAACCTGAAAGGAAAAAGTAAAGTTTGTAAACTTTTAAAGATGGCTACTTCTTGAAAAATGGAGTRTTATGATTGACATTTTGGCACATTCTTCCTAGTACGGCCCTTAGTTGTCCATAGAATAAAGAGAGTATTTCCTGAAAACATTAATTTTATACCCAATTAAAGCAGGGAATTTTTGATCTAATGACTATCCTGATGTAAGATTATAATTACCTTCCACAAAAACTTAAAACCTGCTGTACTACATGTAAGCTATTAATGACAAATATTGTGTGACATATATCAGCGAGGGTTTTTGTGTATCAACACTTGGGATACCTTCTACATAAGTTTAAATCTGTCCCATGTGTCATTTCAATTTCTTTAAATTTGAATCGTATCTCAGTTAGCTGTAATTTCATTTAATGTAACATTAATAATTTAACATATGTGCTCTCTCAACACTACAATCCATCCAACCACAATAAAAGGACACTCTGYATTTAAGTGTTAATTGTTGTCAAGTGTGTACTTAATTTTATATTTATTATGGACTACAAATTCAAGGAGTTTCCAATGATTTACAATTCGTGATTTTAAATACAGTTTCATATTTATACATGATATCATACATGAGTTGTTGTGCCAAACTACAAAGAAACAAATGAGAGAAATGGAAACTTCACTCCTCGATGATTAAMAAGCTATACGTAGAAAAACTCTAATTTAAAACAAATTGATTATAAAATAATTGATTAAGCTGAATGTTTTCGGGACATTAGCTGGCCWATAGTTTGAAGTTAACTGAAAGATTTCGTCTTGAAGATAAACTTTACGAACTATACTTTTTATAAAGTCATATAAGAGTTACATGTAAGTTAAGTTTTAATTTATAATTTCTCTCGACAACATAACGAACTATTAAAAATAGTTCGTTATGTTGTCGAGAGAAATTATAAATTAAGCAATGCTACTCTACACAAACACCAAAAACTATACATTAGCTAAACTTAAGAGAATTACTTCAACAGAAAAGGCAATTCARACGTCAAACCGAAAACAAACAAAACATAAGTTACCAGGTCGAGATAGCAGTGTGTATGGTTTGGAAGTAGGATTGAACAACAATGCCAACGATCCTTGTCCTTTTATCGCGTTAGATAAAGCTTCTGGTTTTACTCTAGGCTTTGGTCTTGATCCATCTATCGCTGGTTCATATCTCTGAGCACTATTAGGTCTTCTAGTCTGGAATCCAGGGTCAGTCGGGATTGTCCATGTTGATGGCATTCTAATAACGGTATTTCAATGTCACTCGAACATTTGGAGCCAAAACGTGAAGTTCCAAGCGCATCAAATTCAGTTTTTAAGACTTGATTGACAATCTAACTCCAGTTGAACCCTCCCTTKGTCGAATTCCGTGATTTTTAGAAATAAAAGTGCGAAAATTTCGAGAAAATCCACTACTTTGTAGTTTTGTAGTAAACTTGTCGTTTATTTTGTGCAGCTATGACACTTCCCAGGATGCTTTGCTAGGCAACCGAAGTGATTGTACCGCGGGCTCAATCCACAGGAACCCCAGTCACTTTTTAGTCGGGAGGATGTTTGTTGTACCGCTTTCACTRACAAAAAATCATTTTGAATTCACGGTTCCGCTAAGTATGACAAGAAACCGAAGGTGCTCGAAATAGAACGTTATAATGTGAATCGACATCTTCCAAAGAACTTTCCTTAATTAGATACTATTTTGGGGGTTTTTCTTGCACGTTTGAAAACTCCCCCTCACTATGCATCAAAGCCGACCTCAATAGTCAACTTTAGATATTTTGGTTCGATGACTATGTACAAAAGAACGCACACGAGGCTCCGGGGAAACAATGGATAATCTTGATTTATTATTTTATTTCCCCGGAGCCTCGTCTGCAATTCTTTTGTGCATGGTCACTGAACCAAAATATCTAAAGTCGACTATTGAGCGGGAGCCGAGCGTAACGCTAAGTGTGACAAGAAACAAAAGATGCTCGAAAAAGAACGCTATAATGTGAATCGACATCTTCCAAAGATCTTTCCTTACTTAGATACTATTTTGGTTTTTTTTCTTGCACGTTTGAAAACTCCCGCTCATTTAGTGCATCAAAGACCTCAATTGAGCGGGAGCCGAGCGTCACGCTAAGTGTGACAAGAAACAAAAGGTGCTCGAAATAGAAAGTTATAATATGAATCGACATCTATTTTTTAGATTGCTAATAAAGTTAGTATAGTATTTTTGGGATCGTTGTTTTTGTACATTTTAAAACTCCCGCTCATTTAGTGCATCGAAGACCTTAATTGACCTTAATTGAGCGGGAGCCGWGCGTAACGCTAAGTGTGACAAGAAACCAAAGGTGCACGAAAAAGAACGTTATAATATGAATCGACATCTTTTTTAAGCAAAAACTTACTCTTTATTATTCCTTTATCCTATATGAATGGWGATGATTTAAGATTCGACCGTTAAACCGATGGATGGAAACGGATTGCAAATGGATATTCGAAGTCACCTCATTTTCCATATATGAAAAATCTAAAACACGACTGCATTGCATGCTAGTGGACCATGTCCCTTTAATCGACCACAACATGGACCTGGCGTAGCACTCTGAAACCATGGAAACTTCTTTTGAATGGTGAACGGTGATAGAAAGACCCACAATGCATTTCGATCTTGGAATACACTTTCGTCAGTATTCAACATTATCTTATATTAGCCGTATACGCTGCAAGGAACTGGAAGCGTCAAGTGGTGATCAGCCATTTCGTTGCCTATTTTATTACACAACAGGCGGCGATTCCCAGGGGCCAAGGAACCTATTGTGATGGTTGATCATTTCTCCCGTGGGGCCTGACTCGAGGCGCCCTGTTTCCCTGCCTACAGTAAACATATCCTTCAGAAAGATTCGGAAAATTTAGCTGTAGTCAAAGACATCAGCTTCTGTATCTGTTGACTTATAAACTCATGATAAATTCTCGAACGTTTTCTTAGATAAAATGTTTAGATCGATCATTTAAGATGTATTTTTACATATTAATTACTCGTATTCGCCTGATTATAGTTTTGCAATAAAACCCCAAAGATTGCTCATTTTTCAGTATTCTTTTATCAATTTTACACGGATTGACATTTACCTCTTCAATTGTTAACATTCACTATATTTAGATTTAATAATGATTTGAAAATCAATATTTAACCATTTGTAAACTTTTATATCACCAAGAACAGAACGTGGAACGTTCGAGTGTAATGTTCGATGGTCTTAAATTGTGTTCCATTGCCGATCCCGTCAAATCTTTGGGCAATAGCTAGCGATCTATCTGCCTGGTCTGTTAACTACTTAGATTAAGAATTTCAAGAGATTTTTGTCGTGGTATTGTTCCGAATACTTGTGATTTCCGTCGGATATAAGAACTGTACACCTTTTCCTGTGATGATTTGAAAAACAATAACGACA